TAATCCACTGAAATATAGAAGTTAGGTTCTACAAACGCCTCCAAACAAAACTGCTATCATTTATTCACCATACAGAAACTTTTACGTGTGTCTATCAGCATGGCTGATGCTAACCCACAGGAAAGTATCTTATTTCGCCCTGTTGGGCGCACGTGTTCCACTGATAAGAAGTGGAATGATTATATTGAATTAACTGCTAAGTCTGCAACTAGGAATGTTGGTTCACTGTGTGATGCCATACAATTTATCTCGTCAGGATCCATTTTTCACATTTATATATCTACCATTCGTTCGGGCATTGAACATTGCTGCCATATATGGTCTGGTACACCTGCTACATATCCCGATATTCTCGACAAAATCCATAGAAGTGTCCATAATGTAATCTGTCCTAAACTGGCATCTCGACTTCAGTCATTTTCTCACCACCATGACGTAACTTATCTCTGTCTTTTCTATAAATATTTTCAATGCGATTGATCTGATGAACTTTCCTTTTTGATACCTCGATCGCATGAACTTAAGTGACATTTACCTCGTTATGAAAAATATATTAGCAGCTAGATTTGTTTTACTGATGAAATAGTTAGATGGAACCGTAAGTTCTATTCTAATAGTTGCTTCTCTCGCACTTTTCATCTGTGGAATTTTCTTCAGGTTTCTTGTTTCTCTGCCGCCTACAATCTTCGAAATATTAAATGCAACGTCAATTGCCATTTTCTATATTCATGTTCTTTTATTGTGTCCTTTCTACTCACTAAAGTCTTCTCATTCTCTTTCACTCCCCGTAACCCTTTGCGTATTAATGGCATTATCGCCATCTTCTGTCTTCCTGAAAACTCTTCTTTTATTGTCCTTTCTCCTCACTAGAGTCTTCTTCTTCTTTCACTCCCAGTAACCACTTGCGTCTTAGTGGCACCATCGCCATCTTCTGTCTTCCTAAAACCTGTTCTTTTATTGTCCTTTTTCCCCACTAAAGTATTCTCATACCGTTTCACTCCACGTAAATCATTCTGTCTTAATGGCATTATCGCCATCTTCTGTCTTCCTGAACATGTTCTTTTATTGTCTTTTCTCTTTACTAAGGTCATCTCCTTCTCTTTCACTCCCAGTAATCCCTTGCTTCCTAGTAGCATTATTGCCATCTCCTGTCTTCCTGAAACCTGTTCTTTTATTGTCCTTTCTCCTCACTAGAGTTTTCACATTCTTTTTCACTCCCAGTAACACCTTGTGTCTTAGTGGCATTATCGCCATCTTCTGTCTTCCTGAAACCTGTTCTTTTATTGTCCTTTCTCCTCGCTAGAGTTTTCTCATTCTCTTTTACTCCCTGTAACTCCTTGCGTACTTGTGGCATTATCGCCTTGCTTGTGGCTAAATGATTTAAAAATTCTTTGGGCCAACAATGAATCAAATCTCAACAAATTTAATAATGTGACTGTATCTTTACTTTTTATTTTTTATTATTTCTCAAAAATACATTCACTGGTTTTGTGACGAGTGATTGTACTTAATGGATGCTTTAGATTTTGCTACAATTTTAAGGATAATTTTTTTAATTTTTCATTTTTGTCGGAGTTTCTGGGTGTTCTTGACGAAATCATATTCATATTCTGACGGCCATTTTTTTTTATTCGAAAATAAAGAAATTTTGATAAACTCTACCTTTTTGGAGTTATCGACAATAAAAGTTCGGACTCATTTGCGGCGCGGTAGCCATTATTGGCGTTGTTTGCATATATTTGCTGCGGGATAGTCATTCACTTATATCGATTATTGCGCACGTACTTATGCAAACAACGCCAACAATGGCTACCGTGCCGTAGCTGACAACGACACGAATGAGTCCAAACTTTTATTGTCGATAACTCCAAAACGCTAGACTTTATAAAACATTCTTTGTTATTTTCGTATTAAGCATGTAAATTTAGAATAAAAAATAACTGCTGGGGAAATTTTTAGTAGATACTTAGCGCGGGGTTTAAAAAGCAAATTACCCGAAATTTCTTATGGAATCATTGGCATAAATTAGTATAATTTTTTTTTGTTCATTTCGAGCCATTATCTATGGTATATATCACGAAATAGGGCAAATAGGGTCCCAAAATCAGGTAGATTTTCAACCTCTGATTATCGCCCATATCTCCCACAGCTACCGCAATTCACTTGCAGCGCAGGTCGGCCATCTTGGACCCCTAAGTTCCTCGCTGCAGCGGTGGACTACTGTATTCACATTGTCTGAACAAACTGTTATCGGAATCAAGTTCTGTAAATATGTATATAAAAGTATTTTCTTTCAAACCTATACACGTGTCTTTTTCTGTTATCAACCATGAACAAAGTGTTACAGGAAATAAACGTGCATAACCACATATATACCATATTAAAACACGCCCAAACTTTATTTTCTATCCAATAACAGTCAATATTATGAACATACCAAAAAGATTCCACAATACAAGACACACACAAAGTGTTAGAAATTAACATCACCATGTGAAATAGTTGACCAATCAGAGAAAACTAAAATCCTATTTTTCTTCAGGAAAAAAAAATTCTTATAAAAACCACAAATTTCGACTTTTAAAGAGTAGGGATGCGGCTGTCTCCAAGCAGTTTAAACATGAGAGAGGCGACTGCCTTCCTCTAGCTCGTGCTGAAAGAAACATCTGTCAGCGACTTCAAATGAATCATCTCCAACAATAACATGGACGGTCAGTGAATCTTCGCTAACGATAAAAGCCTTTCACCAAACACTGCTTTTTTTTTACTATGAAACCAACTATTTACAAGTCTTTCCTAAAATACAGATCTTTCTGTGCACCAATTATCAAAAAACTGTAGCTGAACTAAAAACTATTTTGAATATATTTTAACTCTTTTGAATTCCTGTGCATATTTGTTGTAACATACTTACGGACGATAATTGGTATGTCACCATTCACATAAATACAGTAGTAAATACTGTATGTTGGTCTGAAATTGGAGATGCGTCTCCTGCTGTGCTGGTCAAACTCTCTGCCTCCGAGGGTATGTTGTAGGGCAGAGTCTCATCTCGGGAAAGAACTACCCGACCCCGTTTTTTACGGAGTCTACGGGGAATTTTTGGCCGATCTTGTGTGAAGGTATGGTAACGCCATATTGAGATGGTAAGGTAGAGAGGCACGGTGGAGTAAAGGATAGCAGCTGGGGTTGAGGAATCGGAGAGCCGAGTTCGAATTCCAGTCGAATCCATACATTCACTTACGTGCATGTAGCTTTCTTCTCTTTCTTACTTCAGCTATGGGTAAATAGCAGGACTGACCGGGTTCTATAGCTTTAAATGGCAACTGGTCTACCTATTGCGGGAAAAAAATCTGCCTCGTCAGTTATGTATCGAAAGATACATGATCGCCTAAGCGTGTATCACGCATGACGCATAACTGGCTGAAGGCGGCATGGCGGAGTAATGGATAGCGGCTTCGATTGAGAGCCGAGTTCGAATTTCAGTCGATTCCGTTATATTCACTTACGTGCATGGACCTTTCTTCTCCTCTTTCTTACTCCAGCTATGGGTAAATAACAGGACAGACCAGGTTCTATAGCCATTTAATGGCAACTGGTCTACCTATTGCGGGAAAAAATCTGCCTCGTCAGTTATGTATCGAAAGAAAGGCATGATCGCCTAAAATTATATCACGCATGGCGCATAACTGGCTGAAGGCGGCATGGCGGAGTAATGGATAACCGCTTGGATTGAGAGCCGAATTCGAATTTCAGTCGAGTCCGTTACATTCACTTACGTGCTAATACCTATGAATCCTCTTCTTCTCCACTGGGTAAATAGCAGGACAGATCGGGTTCTATAGCCTTGGATGTTAACTGGTCAGAAAGAAATGGCAGCCTACTGCGGGGAAAAAATCTGCCAAATCAGTATGTATCGAAAGATACATGATCACCTAAGCGTGTATTACGCATGGCATATAACTGACTGACTAAAGGGAGGATATATTCCTCACCAGCAATTCCAATAATTCTTTCAAGTAAACAAGAAGTCAAGCTTAGATATCGTTTATGCCGTAAAATTTGAGTAAACTTCTTTAATCTACAATGTCTTCCTCCATTTTCACTACTGAAGAGCAATACAAACGTTATAATAGTTATTAAACGTCGTCACATTGATATTTAGATAACCACATTATGACATTGGTAATAACGCGCGATAGGATGTGATGGCTGCGCAACAGCTATCGGTGCAGACAGTCAAAATCAGCCAACCGAAATCAAATCAGTCAACCGAAATCAAATTCTCATCGAATCCGGTGCACTCATTTTCTCATGAATATCCTTGGGAAAGTATGAATTTAAATCGCAGGGTAGACTGGCCTCTCCAGCTTGGGTGGCAACTAGCCTCAGGGAAGGAAAGCTTTGAATCCGAACGGGAAGCTACATTATTATAATTTCCAGAAAGTCGCGGCAATTCACAGATAATAAAGACAAGGAAACTGTGTAGAGCCATGATCGCCTAGATCCATGGCATTAAAGAAAGACAATTCCAGAAATATTACAACAGCATTTTACGCATCATTCAACGTTATCCTAGTTCTTTATTCACTCTGTATTTAATCTTAATATCCGACGAGGAAAATGAATGACAAAATTCAAGGATAAATTTTGCTACCTTTTCACAGTCAAGGTTGAAAGTCGATTTTTACTGAGAAATTCAGGAAGGAGCGTCTTTATCACCTCATTTGCTCAATTGCCACATTTTTTCCCTTGAACATAAACCTTTCTAACAATATTCGGCAAAATGGCGTAAAAAAAAAAGAAACAAAACAAAAAGACAAAAACAACAGAAAAAAAACAAACAAACCCTCATCTCCCACAAAAAAAATAAAATAAAAAATCACCTCAACAGAAATGAGAGAATTTTTGAATATCAACCACCAAAACCTTTTTTTTTTTTTCTTTTCCATCCTTTTCCGTCCTCTTTTTTTTCCCCATTTCTTCCTATTTTCGCTTACAGACTCGTTGCGCATTGATTTGCAGTGAAGTGATTTCAGGTGTTGTTAGGTTTGCACGTGAAAGAAAGAGTCCTCGCAGGGAAGCAAACGGTCTTGTGGGTGGAGACGGGAGGGAGGTTTTTACAATGAGAGGAACGACGAGTGAAGTTGACGAGAGCCGAGTTCTTTTGTTTGCTTATATGAGTAGTGGTGGTGGTGGTGGTGCGAAGTGGGAAGCAATGGAAAAGTAAAAGAGAGGCGGGTTGTGTCCTTGGGTTTGGGGTAAGAATCGAAGGTTGTATTACACGCATGCGCACACACATAGGATGAAATGAAAGTGAATGAAAAAGTCGAAGGAGAAAAAAAAAAGGAAAAGAAAAATGGCGATATGAAGAAAAAATGGAAGCGAGTGAATAGGCAAAAAATAATGATAGAATATGAACGAACTATCTGAAAACTGATTGTAAAGAAGGAGAGAAGAAGGAAGAAAAAGAAAAAAGAATGAAAACAAAAAAATTAAAAAAAATGGAAACTAAATAGAAGAAATCGAATCGGACAGAAGAATTGGGAAGTGAAGCATTCGAATTAATGAGAAACAAAAAAAGGCTGTAGAATCGTTGAAAGGAAATAATAATAAAAAGACAAAATAAAACAAAACTGAGAAATTATAGAAATGAATGGTAAAAATGAATCAAAATGCCTCGAAAAGGAAAGAAGGCGGGGATTATGCAAAGCAGTAAGGAATTGTGGGTAGGATGGGTAGAGAGAGAGAGAGAAAAGGAGATAAGGAATAAATGGAAGGAAAGAGAGGATAAGGTAAGAAAAGAAAATGAATGAAAGAAAGATTGCATCTGGGAAGGAAGAAAAAATGGAGGGTGAGAAGTAATCCAAGATGGTTGAACTCATCAGAGAGGATTTAGAACGAAATTTAAACTGAAGAAAATAATTTGTCAAAGACATTAAGAATAGTTTTCAAGAGGTGAATTTGAATTTATTAATCGCATATAAACTGAAGTATCAAAAATTACACAATAACGTATAGTTTCCTCCATTAGCTAGAATAACGGCGGCTACATTGCATGGCTGTACGAAAGAGTCAATACATAAGAATGACTATTCAGGCACAGTTCAGATCTGGAATTCAAGTGAGTCCTGTTTGTTTGCAGTGTCTGCGGGGAATTTAGCGAGATCTGCAACACGTTCCATACGTGTTCAGCGGGAATTGAATCTGACGAATATGAGAATGAGTGGAGAATCAGCCTAATTTTCCTGGAATCAGTTTATTGTCTCTCACGCTAGATGGCGAATTCCGTTACCATTCCCGGAGGGGTGGGATGGGGAAATCACCATAGGGAAAGATGGCGGGCAAAAGCAGTTGCAACAAGATCAACTTCACTTGTGGTCCTTGTGAATTCCAACTGAACAGAGTCAAAATGCAATAACAATTTGCACCACATCCACTTTAGAAGTTGGATTTATAACTCCATAGAGAATCCTCCACTAACGAACTCCTACGTCTGGTCGAAAGTGTTGCAAATGTGACGCAGACCAGGAGATGCTGCGTTGGTTCGCCACTGAGATCGGACTGTTCAAAGACGACTGTTCCTCCTGTTGGTAAAAAAAAAAAGTCACTGAGAAGCTGGTTCCCAGTCAAGTGGCTTTTTAATGTTGGGGAACAGATGATAGTCAAATCAGGAGAATAGGGAGGGTGATCAACCAATTGAAAGACATACTCTCGCCCAGCAGCCATGGTAATATTCTTTGGTCCACATGAAATACAATAAGCGATTGTATGGCGCCAATGATAGTGTAGGGGTGATGCGACATATATTTATCTTTTGACTAGGAAAGGCGTGATTAAGGAAAGCAAAGACGCTGGAGGTTATTATCCAATGTGGCGGTCACAATGCAATTTATATTTGACATATAATAGCACATAGTATAAAATACAAGACAGAATGTAATGATTCAAAACATAACAATTGAATTTATTAGTGTTTTGTGTACATGCATATAAGCTGAAGGTTTGACAGAGTTATGTCTCTTAGATTTGGAAATATTTGTACCTGAGCTCATAAAGTGAATTAATTATTAAACTGTAGTTTAGAAGAATAAAGTTCCTTTAGCATGTAAGGAAATGTGAGTTGTAAAAGTTGGTAAGAGTTCAGAAAAGATTTTAGGGTTCGTACTTGCGTGAAATGGTAATGTTCTTTAACGTCTGACCGCAAGGTTAAGACGAGAGTTCTTGAAGGTCACATTTTAGCAGCAAGGAATGAGACGCAAGAGTGACGAAAGAGAGAGAGAGAGAGAGAGAGAGAGAGAGAGAGCTTACACGTGTTTTGTTTATATAAGGCTGGGTATCACGTGATCGGCTCAACGTGAGTGAGCGGAAAATTTCATTCCTCGCGTGCAGGATATCTGATTGATCGGAATTGACCGAGGAGATCAACCAATGAATGCTTGTCGCATGATGTCTATGTACTGTGTGTATGTAATGGTGGTGGTAATTAGCACAGTAGTATTCTTATTATTCGATGACTAAGAATCTTCACAGAGTTCTGTGTACACAATGTCGTGTGTTGAATGATGCTTTGAGCAGTACGCACTAGTGTTGAGTTTGAACGGGATTTGATGTAACGCTCTTCTCTCTTTTAAATCACTTACAGTCTTGTTCTTACATCTCCTGTGGGGGACCGAAGTCTTCACATGCCATTGATATCGGTCCGTATTCCTAGTATAATTTTATTGTTGTAGTCCGAAAAAAACCTAGAGCAGTTGACATGTTAGAGCACAACAACCATTTCGTAATCAAACGGTGTTAAAAATCCCGTTCTGGCTGCCACAGCTACACTGTATATTTATCTATTACGTCATATACACGTCATCAGTCGTGTTCAACAAGTGCAAAAAATGAAATCATCTTTGGCACTTCTATTTATTTCTGATGGTTTTGTCTGTTCAATAATGAACGAATAGTGAGGAACCCAGTGAGAATCGAACTCACTACAATAGTAATTGTCTATGAGGCTATACTGCGTGCAAAATTATTATCGAGATAACTTTTTTCTAATATTTCAAAAACCGTACGATCAATTCACAAAAATTTTCACACAATGTTGGAAGCACTGACCTGCGCAATCACTGAAATTTTCGTTTTCTTTTCAGCATCACTTAAACTGCTTTTACGGCCCATCTTTTCACTAAATTCTTACACTTTTCTAATAATTTGGCACGCTCAAATCACCGTGCTGATAACAAACATGGCGTCAGTTTGTTTACATTGCGCAGATCAGTACGAAAATTTCAGTGATTGCGCAGGTTAGTGTTGCCAACAGTGTGTGGAAATTTTGTGTGAATTGATTGGACGGTTTTTGAAATATTAGAAAAAGAGTTATCTCGATAATAATTTTGCATGCAGTGTAGTTGGCTAACGATCACACTTATTTGCTTAATTTTATTTAGTCTAACAGAAGGGCACATTTGCGGGTCAGCTTGAAAATTGGTCTTTGATGTCCGATGGATTCTCTGAAAGAAATTCTTCATGATTTCCGTATGAAACTCAACAGACACAGGAAATAAAATAGTACTGTCGGAAAGAATAAGTTATCAGTCACGAAAATATATTTTCCAAAGAGTCTCTACCATTGGCTATTCATTTTTGCCAGCAATGAACAAAAGTCGGCATTATCTCCACTACTGATACAACTGTTCTCATGTTCAGCAAGTGTTGATGAGGAGTGAATTTTTTTTTACCCATAGATGAATTAAATAACACATTTCTGTTTCGTATCTTCTTTCATGTCAGACACCATTTTACCAGACTGCCGCTCAGTTGCTATATGTAAAAAGGCGAAAAAAAATTCTGATTTACTAATGGGGAGGTTCAATCTCTACTACCGTACCACTGACGTCCGCCTTTTTTTTGTAGGGCTACCCTTGTGTAAGGTGATTTTAAAAGAAAGGAAACTATGAGTTTTCACGTTGCGCATGACATTGTCGTCTTATCAAGAATATTTTAGAAGACATTGTAAACTCTCGACTTGGATGTCTTGGACAGCTATATAGGGGGGGGCAAATATGCCATGAAAACGTAAGGATGACCAATTGCGGGAAGTAAATTAACACTACAATTTGTTCTGCAAAAGCAATCCTATTTATAGGCTGGCCAATTACGAGGAAAGATAGGTTGAAGTAGGTTCATTGTACGCGGCGATCACTCTGTGGATACAAGTAAACAAAACTGATATCATATTCCTCTATAATAAGAACTGCTATTTTGACTTTTCATTGTGGATTTTTTGCTCTATGCAGAAATACATGTGAAATAAAAAGGCCCATAAAATATTCGAAAACAGAAAATCGGTTCTTCCCAACAAAACGAATGGATCAAGATTATTTTATAACCTCCAACTCTATCAAAACTACAATTAAAAAGAATTAACCTAAAATTTGTCAGAACTGTCTCTAAAACAATAATATACTTAATTAATACAAAACAAAATAATAAACTAAAACCTGTAATAATTAGCACAATGAATATATCGGATAAACCATAAGGAATTAAAATTAAAGATTCTATGAATACAAAAGGGATCTTTTACAAAACAACACGTTAAATGCATTAGTTGGTCAACATAACGAGACTGGCCATAATTTTGATTTTAAAAATGCTAGTTTAATTAAGTAAAAAACAATTGACTAAGACAAAAATATTTAGAAAGTGGTTTAATCGCTAGATCTATGAAGGTTAACAATGTTGTGTGCTTGTGTGTATTTTAGGTGGGGGTGCGTGTTCAATATGTAAATAAAGAAGAGAGAAGCATTTGCATTTCTACTACAGACGTTTATTCTTTTTATGGTGACTGTAGTGAAACAAAGTTCTCAGTGTCTCTTGAATATGTTCGTCCCCCTTCTGGTTCAGAAGTTAGGGTAGGTAAGCACAGGTATCGTATTCGTCAACATCAACTTTGCGCAGAGTTAGAACAACCAAAGGAAATTTTCTAATTACTTTATCGTTGGAAGGTTAAACATGCTTATGAGAAAACAGTGCAGTCGTAAGTTGGACGGGGAAAGTATGTTCCCAGCGGAGATATAATTAATATGTGATACTACATCTTAGATCAATCGGAAGGTGGGGAAGAAGAAGAGGGTGAGGCAAGAAATGTTTGCATTTTTATAAGCTTCAACAACGCCACTTAACGACATTTTTCGAAACCAAGTGGGGTAATCATATCCTTTACTCTTAGCATCATGGGAAAATGTATTTCTTTTTCTTCTTCTTTTTATTATTATTATTTTTTTATTTATCGATTTTATTTCATTTTCCCAGAGATCATCCCCAGTTTACAAGGTTTCACTATACGTTATTATGATGTGGGATATTTAATAACAAAAATGATGGAAGCATAAACAAAACAAATAAAGAATCAAAATGAAATCGGTTAGATTATATACCCAAAATACATATTCCCCCGCCAAATATTTTTAAATCTAAAATTCTCAGCGTCTCATTCATTCCTGCGCATGCGCAATCGCATCAGCATAAACATAGACTTAGTCCGATGATGTTCTAAAGGGCGAAACGCTTCACACGAAAACTTTTTTCCACTTTGCATACTTCTTTCCTCGAAAACATATATATATATATATATAGGTAACTATACTCGTTTAGAAAAACCTTCGAATTTTTGATTTGCCAATAATCAAATCAATCTCGAGGGAAAAAAGGTTTTTAAAAAAGAAAGAGCTAGAAACATGAAAGTCTGTGGAAAAAATCGCGCATATATGGTTTAAAGCCCAAAGAAAAAACCCGACACGAGTAAACAACTAACTAACAAAAGAGCTCAATACAACCGTAGAGCAGACCTAGATAAACCTAGTGAGCCAGACAAACCTACCCAGGTTTCATCTAAGCGGATCGTCAGGGAAAGCTGGCTCTTTCCCTGACGATCTGCTTAGGTGAAACCTGGGTAGGTTTGTCTGGCTCACTAGGCATATATATATACAGTTGTGAAACAAATAATCGTACACATACAAACTTTTAATTTATTGTATTTTCAACTAATGAATAAACATACTTTTCATATAATTAACTGTACACTGATACATAATAATTAAATATGCATAGAAAAATGAAATAAAAAATGATTTCATAGATTTTAATTGGTGAAAAAAGAATTCGTACAATACAAAAAGAATACATACTCTTCATTTAATACTTTGTAGAGTAGCTAAAATAAACCTCTTTTTGTCGTTCTCAATTAGTGATCTGTAAATTTTAGTTGATATTTTTTTCCATTCTTCTTCGCATATGGTCTTCAGATTCGAGATGTTTGTTGGAGCTCTCGATTGAATTTGAATTTTCAAATAACGCCACAGATTGGGTTTATATCTGGAGACTGACTTGGCCATTTAGGGATATTTATATTATTTTCAGTATGCCATTTTTTCGTAGATTTTGCAGTGTACTTAGGATCATTATTTTGTTGGAAGATCCAATCAGGAGGGTGTTCAAGATTTTAATCCGAAATCATTAAATTTGCTTCCAAAATATTTTGATATGCTGCAGCATTCATTCTGCCATATATTACTGATATGTTGCCAGTACCCTTTGCAGAAAAAAAAAACATCCCCAAACCATGATGCTGCCACCAACAAATTTCACTGTCGGAACTGTGTTTTTTGTTTGTTTGTTTGAAAGCATCGCCATCTTTCCTCGATCCATAATTTCTAGAATTACGTCCAAACAATCCAATTTTGGTTTCGTTTGTCCATAATACTCTTTCCCAATACTAATTTTCCATGTCCTTATTAACGAATTTCAACCTGCCATCTCTGTGTCTTTTCAATAGTAGTGAAGTTTTTCGAGGGGAGCGTGACTTTAGATTGTTCCTAAGAATTTCATTGCTTATTGTCTGTTTAGTGACACATATTCCTAATGAAAACAAATCATCCTGAAACTCTTGACGAGTAACCATTGGATTTTGTTTAATTTGGCGCATTAATTTCCTCAAAGATCTTGAAGAAATCTTTCCGTGGACCGTGGAGTACGTGTTCTTCTTTGGTTTTCAAAAGTTTTGAGCTTTTATACCTTGCAATAAATGAACTAATAGTAGTAAATGGAATATTCAGGTTGTCTGAGATTTTCATGCTATTTTTCCCTATTTCCAGATCTTAACAGTTCTTTTTGCGAATTTGTCAATTCTTTACCTCTTGCCAGGATGATAACCTTCTTGCATGAATATCAATTACAGATTTTTCTGTATGTATTTTAGACTAAAAATAACTACTGATAAAATTATTGGAACATTCTCGTATATTGCACTTGAATAATCTAGAGTATTAAAGCAATTTAAAAGTTTTAAATCTGAAATTTGCATTGTACGAATACTTTTTTCAACCATTAAAATGGATAAATGAGATTTATTTCTATTAAATGAAATTTTTCTGTTTTTTTTTCTGCATATTTAGTTATTATTGCTTGAGGGGGTTAGCCAGCTGGTGTTTGAGTTTAATATTATTTTGAAACTTTCTCGGCCGAAGCCAAGGAAGTATGGAGTTTAAAGTAATGTAATGTAATTGGGTATTAGAATATATTGTCAACGTTTCGTTCAATAAGAACATCACCAGAACAACTGAAAAATTTAGGTAAAATCGTTACCATGACAATCTTGACACTCTAAAAACGATCTGGTCTTTGAGAAGGCACCCGATCCGGTTCATAAATGAAGGCCATTTTAATGTTACGCGGCATGTACCAGTCTGGAAATGAAAAAAGGCTCGTGGCGATTCAGAGTGAGCTGACCTCTTGAAAATTGGCTGGTTCTTCGCGCTCATTTACAGGAACGCGCTGGAGGCCTGTCGGGGATGTGTCAAACGTGGCCAAGAGAAAGAAACCCCCAAAGCGGTCAGAGGTCATAAAGGAGAGCCAGGTTTATGCAACAGATCAAGGACATCATCAGCTACGAACATAAGTCAAAGGGGAGCATTGCCGAACAGCTCAATATGGCGGATATCAGACGTGTGCTTCACGGGTACATTAGATCCAAGTTTTGTGTGGTAAGGAGAGAGTGCTTAAAAAATGGCAGAATCAGGTGAATCGATAAAAAAAAAGACATTTGGAGGTTCTTGACATTCTCTGGTTCTCCAAGACCTGAAGGTTAAGAAGTTGTTATACTGGAACACACCTATTCTATAGTTAATAGACTCTCCCACCTATAATAGTTAGTAGTAGTAGCAGTCGCAAAGTCGCTGAGTGTGTTGGTCAGTCAGTCAGTCGATGTAAAAGTATCAGCCACCACAACTAGATTGCTGCGTCATTAACTATTATATCAAGTTCCTAACGTTTTGTACGTCGAACCTTTTTTTTCAACTTAGTGAAATTTAAGCCTCCACTGTGAAACTACTCTACAACAGAAGTGCCAACAGGTAGTCCTGCGTGAAACTGGTCACATTGATGCACACAATTGTCTTTGATGGTCCTAAGGCTTGGGAACAACGAATGTCATATTGTACTGTCTTATTTCTTCCCGCAAGTCCTAGGCAACAGTGTCATCGCCTACATTGAGAAACTGGAAACGATGATCAAATCCTGCACCAAGAGGGTTGTCCCGACAGGACTTTGCTCTCTCTCCCAGATGGCTCGCGTTACCCAAAAGTGGTTCTCCGGAGATTTAGTCGATCGTATCTCATTTTACCTCTCCCTGATATGAATTGGAGCAAGAGAGAGAGAGAGAGAGAGAGAGAGAGAGAGAGAGAGAGAGAGAGAGAGAGAGCGAGAGGAAAAGACTCATGGACGCAATGGTTAACCCTAGAACAATAACCATGGGTATATAGTACCCAGCGTAAATTTTTCTATTTTTAATTACAGTTTTCAGTACCTGATTTTCTTACCTATTAATGTTAACTCAAAGTACAAAGTTTGAAGTGCCTGCATATGAAATATTTCAAATAAAGATTTATATTTAATTTTTTTTTTTTTGATATTTTCAAAATCGGGTATGATATACCCATGGTTAGTAGTGGTGTAAATTTAATTGATGGTTAGTTTTCTAGGGTTAATGAGAATGAGAATCATTTATTCCGGCATGTACTCATTTGCGAAAACGCATCGAGGCCGTCATCAAGGCAGACAGTACTTTTTATTGAATAATCTCTCCTAATTTTACTAAGTTAAAACGTTGCATCTTTTTGCTTTTGTTTTTTGAAAATAAACTGTTTTTTTTTTCTATTAATTCTGTTCGCACGTATGACGCCATTTGTTACCCACCGAAGAGTAGTTCAATGAAAGAGGAAGCTTTGCTAGTCAATCAAATTTTGGTTTGGTGAAAAAAGTTCGGGGAACATTCGCATAGCAAAGTAGACTAAGCTCTTTAGTCATTGTTGTCAACCAACTTAGGAGAAGGAGATCGATGAATTCAAAAACATGGAGAAGGAAGCAGACAGAGCCCGTATTTGCTCGGTGTCGTAGCCGAAACGTAACCGTAGAAATTCCGTTTCCATCAGGGAATCACAACAGCAATCCTTTTCCAGGTTCATTTTTCAGCTCCGTATATATATATATATATATATATATATATATATATATATATATTTTAAGCATTACGACCCGAGCAAGGCGTGAAGCGACTAGTATGCAGGGGGTTGCAGAATATTTGGAGCGAGAGCAGATAGGAGAGATAGAAGAAAGGATGAGGAGAAGGATAGTGGGTAGATCAAGTTAACTGGAGGTGTCGATTGACATTACATTTGAATAGTTGGAGATTATAGCTCTCAGGGAAACAGTAATTGGGAAGGGTGTCTCACAGGTGAGAGGTGTGAGGTATGAAGCTTTTGGAGTAGAAGAGACGGCTACATATAAATATATATATATATATATTGTAGAGGTAACAAATACGTTGGTATATAATCCTAGTAATAAAAAAATATTAAAACTGCTTCCACCCTCCCCTGACCACTGTTTCGTGCCTTTCGTCTGAATGAAACATTGAAATGGATAAATTCTGTATTGGTTTTTCAACAGGTTGGATTTTTTTTTTGCTTCCACGGTTTAGTTCTATTTCCCGTCCCTCCTAATTGTATAGACACAAATTCAGTCCACACCGGAGTTGATAAGGCAGCTGACCGATATCTTCGTCTGCCGAAATAGGCTATTCCTCATATGAGGTAATTTGGGATTTTATTGTTTATTAATTATATATATATATATATATATATACAAGTATATGATTGGTGTATATTGAATAAATTTTTTTTAACCAACAATTACTATTCTTAAAAAAAATCTCAATACAGAGTAGAGCGAATATAATTATTTATTTAAAAAAATAACATAAATATATGCTGTCGCCGCCCATCTAGAGGATGGGTATGAGAGGTTGCTACGAAGAAGTGGGGAGGGAAGTTCACGCCCCTCTGAAGTATGGTGAGAAGGTGGGGAGTAAGAAAGCTCCCAAAATGGAAAAAAAAAGTGGAAAATTCTAACCAGAAAAAAAAGAGGTGGATATGTATTTAGAATTATCGAGGAACCCCAAACGCCGACAAACCCACCCCGGTTTTGGTCGGCGTCCATATAAGCAAAAGTCGCAGCGAGCAGAAATCAGTTCGAGTTAGAGTTTCAGTTCCAGTTCCAGCAGAGAGCACGAAGTTCGCAGTTGGAAGTTGGTTCCACCTCGCAGATAGCTGACTTGAAAGATTCACGCAAATTCCGGACTCCTCTTCAATTCAAGAACAATTAATTTGAAGAGCGACTTAGATCCAAACCACCAAAATAAGTTTTTTTTCGACTTTCGCCCGAAGACACACCAAAAACCATTTCTTAAAGAGCAAACAACTTGAAGCGTTAAAACTCGCCGAAGGGAAAACAACGTGTCACAATCCATAGAACGGGTCGGGAAATAGACGCAATCCTATGTATCCAACAACTAGACATAAAGTTTGTTATCCTTTTTTTGATACCTTGAATTTTTGAGTTATCATTTTATTTTCTTTTTATGCATATTTGTGCGGTGTCACCCCGTTTTGAACTCGATTTGCATTACGGCCCCAACTACTGATTGATCTCGTCTGCCTAAGATCAATTCACAACGTGGGTAGGCGGACTGGAGATCAATGCAGTTACTTTGGTAACCAGGCGTTGGAAGCGAGTTGGGAACGACGAGGCTGATATCGAATCTAACCAGATTCCCATCCGAATCACCAAAAGGTTAGAACGTCACATTTGGGTGCCGCGACCGATACCAAGCCAGTTGGTCGTCACAGGACGAGACAACACGACTGACGCGACAGGCGGACGTCACGCTTTGGAACGGAGCAGTGAGGAGCGAGCGAAGGCTGTGTTTAGGGACGTCGCAGCTGACGCCGCGACCAAGGACGTCACAGCTAGCGCTGCGACAAGGACGTCACAACCGAATATAATTATTTATTTAAAAATTATAACATAAATATGTTATAAAATCAGTACAAAAATAGCCATTTTGTTTCAACACCTCTGGTGTCTTAACAAGTGATAATGTTGAATGTAGATTGTAGAACCAGAGGTGTTGAAACAAAATGGCTACTTTTTGTAGCAGTTATAATTTTAAATAAATAATTATATATATATATATATATATATATATATATTGTTATGGGACCTTACCTATAATAACATAATGGACTATTCAATACGTAATAAATACTGCGCCTCAAGAGGAAGCAGGGAGTTCCGTCTGAAGTCTGGAGTGAGGTCTGAAGTCTGGAGTGAGGTCCGTCAGAAGTCCGTCAGTCAGTCAGAGCGAGCGAGTCAGTCAGTCGAGTCAGAGGCAGTCCGAAACAGAGTCACATTCAGACAATTACTACAAGACATTGGAATAGTGATACTGGTCGAAACTACATTGTTCTCCCTACTAAACCTGATTGTTCGTACTAACACTTTCTACTTCTCTGTATATATTCCTGTTTGTAATATATCTGTATTATCCCATATCCGTGTTCGAGTTCTTCTTTATCGGTTCTACCTTGGACTTTCACCGTGGTACAACGACCTAGACCATAACACACACACACACACACACACACACACACACATATATATATATATATATATATATACGTGCGAACTTATCTCTGATTATGTCTCCATCGTCAAAAGTGAAAAAAGGTTTAAAGCGACAGGAATTTTACATTCATCTAGTGAACATTTTCGAAAACTTAATGAGGAAAGAAATCTTGGAGAATTTAATACTCACAACGAACATTGAAAGGGTGAGATTCCGAGACAGTCAATGTGTAATATACTTGAACAAGTACTGCAAAGAGAAAGTATTGTTGTGAAAAAACAGAAGACAGGAAGTCATGGAGAGCCATGACTGCCGACCTACATAGAGCGATAGAGATAAACGTGTCTGTGTATGTGCGTGTTTACATGGGTGTGCTATAAAATGTCGCATGTTATCATTTATAATGTTCATACCAACTCCAATGCTTACGACTCGAAGCATCTGCTTTAGTCTTTAGTCAGACCAAACGTCCTTCTCTACCCCCACCCCCCGCGTTCCTTTTTCTTGAGGGTGAGGCGGCGGGGAACCTTCTAATTCTTTAGCTTCACTACCCACATTTCCTCTCGAGTCATTTCGGAAAAAAAAAAAAAAAAAAAAAAAAAAGAAAGACTGCCCCACCCGATTCGCCTCGAGGCTTTGATTGTCGTAATTTTTAATTGCTTCTACTGTTGGGAACGAGAAAGTAGAAAGGTGAGTCATGTTGATAATGAGGTTTCAACAATTACAAAGTCGAGAGAAACTGGATTTGAGAATCAGAATAGGAGAGTGGTATTATTATTATTATTATTATTATTATTATTATTATCATTATTTCGTTATAAAAACAAAAACTGTTCTTTCTTTCAACGCCTGATTACGACGCCAAAACAAGTTTCAACCCTCATTAGTGACTCTGGCTTCATTCTTTTCAAAGCGGACATGAACGAAACACTCAGAAATTTTAATTACTCCACATTGTACATCAGACCATTTTGAAATCAAATAAAAAATAAATAAAATTAAAAAAAAAAGGTAAATCCTCTTATTAATGTTGATTAATTTCTTTTTCCTTAATCCTATTAATGCTCCTTTTTAGCTCAGGTCGTTTTTATTCTCTACGACCATTAATTAAGTAGGGATCTGAACTGCCATCCTGTATCTTTAGAAGGTCGTCTAACATGCGACGAATTTAAGAGCCGTAGAGTCTTAAGATGTCTTGAACGTCGAAACAAAAAAAAAAAAAAAAAAAAACCAAAAAAACAAATAAACAAACAAAAAAAAAAAAAAAAAAGAAAAGCAAAAAACAAATATAAGATAAAATGAGTAACATTAAAAATGAAAATGCTTTCAAAACTGAATATCCGAAAATTATTTTCCCTTGTTTCATCAATAATTTAAACCGTAGAGAACATTTCCCCACATCAAGTCTAAGGATATAAGTAGTTTTCCCAAACATATAGAATCCAACTGACCAGTTCCCGTGGCTAATAAAAATAAGTCTGAACTGTTACGTGACATCTGTCTTCCTATACGGCAGCGAAAGTTGGACGATCTCCTCAAAGATGAAGAAGAGACTGGAGGCAGTGGAGATGTGGTTCTACAGAAGGATGCTGAGGATATCATGGATCGAGCGTGTGAGCAACGATTTGGTCTTGGAAAGGATGCAAACAAGGAGGAAGCTTATACTTAAAATAAAGAAGAGGCAGATGGAATTTCTGAGAAAGGAGGGCCTGGGGAATCTGATACTCACAGGTCGAATAGAGGGAAAAAGAGAC